AAAATCGATCAAATAGAGATGTGAGGGACAACGGAGAGATGAAACACAAGAACAAGAGTAAAAAGGAACGATTTTGTTGTGCAAAGGAAGTAGAACAGAAAAAAGGGTTGGAGTAACATTCAGAGAAACGAATGAGTTCGATGAAATCAAGTTACAGAAAGGACCCATAAGGGAAAAAGCAAGTAAGAATCATCAAATACGTACCTTTGAGTTGAGCGAAATGGCATGTGGAAACTAGGTTGAGCGAGCAACAGAGAAGAAAAGTTGGGGTTTTTAAACGTAAAGCGGTAGAGCCGTAGAGGTTGAAGAAAATGTAGGGTTTTTTTGGTCATTACACGATGTGAAAGACACAAAAACGTCCCATTTTGGACCTTTAAGGTTTTTTCCTTATTTTGTGGGGAAGGGTAAAAGAAAGTTTGGAACTTTTTAAACTTTGAAAGGTGAATCCAAGAGTAATGTTCAAAGTAGATATGTTACCAAACTAATTACATTTTCAATTCCCTTATAAACATCACAACCCTTCAAAGATACAACAGTTTATATGCACGAAGACGCTGTGATTATCCGGATACTATCATATGCAGGGTCATTGTTAAGAATGCCTCAGACTTCATCTTTGCCATTGTAGAAGTGTCTGAAAACACAAGAGAAGTCCTTTGTTTCATGCCCATCCTCGCACATCTTCTTGTAACTGCAAAAACAAAAGCAAAACTCCAGCTTGATGATATGTGTGCATTGCTTCATAAAAGAGCTTTGAACATAAGTACTCACATTTCTTGTACTTTGGATATCAATGAACTTTTGTGTCCAACTTCTTCAGCTGAGGTTGCTGCGAGGTTTAGGTCTTTCGCCTGCATTTTGAATAAAATAATATAGATGAGAGACTTGTGCAACAAAAGAAATGTGCTTTAGATAGATTTTAGGATCTACGATATGGAGACTTGGTAAGACACTGACCATAAGCTTGGAGGCGAAACCGCCATTGTAATCCCTTGAAGAGGGCACACCTTTCATTACTCCTGGAACTGGATTGTATGTGTCGCTGTGGTTTAAAAGCATAAAATGAAGTTAAGAATTTTGGGATTTGCACTTAGAAGCCAACTATAAATTTGAAGAGGTCATTTCATTTACGTACCTACTCCAACATCGGCCACTAGATGTGTTTAACACTTCTGTTAAAGTGCTGGCAGATATTCCAAGCGACTGACCAAGAGCTAAGGCTTCTGAAGTACCGAGCATACTCACAGCCATTGCCAAATTGTTACAAATCTTTGCAGCCTAAGTTTGAAAAAAAAAAAAAACATCGCATGTAATGAATGCAGAAGACTTTCCCAGTCTACTTTGTGAAGAACTTACAGATCCATTTCCTGAACCACCACAGTAGATGGAAGTTCTACCCATTGACTGAAGTATTGGTCTAGCGGCTAAGTATGCATCTTCGGGACCTCCAACCTACAAAATGTGCTATTGTATCAGTGTCATTGTGCTTTTATAATGAGCAAAATTATATGGTATATTTAGTTATGAGCATCTATAAAGCATGTGATTCAACTAATGGAGGTGATAAGAGCGTCAAAACCATACCATGAAAGTAAGTGTACCAGCTTCTGCAGCAAGAACACCTCCAGAGACAGGAGCATCCAACATGACTGGCTTTTCCCAATTATCTGCATCAAAGATGCTTGAAACCATTTAAAATGAAACAATCTCGACTTGTTCACAAGGAGAACAAAATGACACTGTTGTTTAACACCTGCATCCACCAAGATCTTTTAAAGATTCCCCCTTTAGATTGGAATACATAAATTACAAACATTAGACTAAAAAGGCTACATAATCATGGAGAGGGCTGACTATGAAAGAAACTGTTTTCAAAGGGATTCAACACTTTCATGAGCTACCACTAAAAAAAGTTACTCATAAGAAACAAACTACCGTTCAAATCCTATACATGCTTTACCTCTCTTTTCTTTCACATTACAGTTAGAAACAGCAAGCGAGACTTTTCGAGTTGTTTGTGGATCAATAGTGGATGAATCTATTAACAAAGCAGGTCTTATAGCGTTTTCTTCACGAAGCAACCCATTTGTTCCTGTGTACACATCCATCACCTACATGAATTACATACTTTCTTCACAAAAACATCCAATCAAGATAAACATAAATTTCAAAAATTTACATTCTTTCAAGTTTCAACCTTCTAATACGCAACAATACTATCTCATAGTCTAGTTATTTCGCAATAAAGACTTACATGAGATGATGAAGGTAACATCGTAATAACAACATCGCTATCTTGTGCAACTTCATAAGGAGTCTCTCTAGCTGAGACTCCCATTTCAGTGAACATCTTCATAACATCACGGTTTCTGTGAAATCAAACACAAGTTTTATGAGCAAAAGTTCAATCAAATGTGAAAAATGGATAGGGAGCAAAACGCACAAAGGATATTACATGTCATTAACTGTAACTTTAAATCCAGCTTTAACTAGATTATTCACCATTCTAGATCCCATATTCCCAAGCCCTATGAAACCAACATTCTG